TTTTTTTTTTTTTTTTTTTTTTTTTTTTTTTTTTTTTTTTTTTTTTTTTTTTTTTCTTTTTTTTTTTTTTTTTTTTTCTTTTTTTCTTTGAATAGGCAATAAAATGCAATTTAATTTTTTGTTTCTTTTTGGGTATAGTAGTCTTTAAAACAATTGCTTCTACCCTTATTACAACATAAGGGTACATTACATTTTATGCAATAAATTTGTGATTGTAGCAGATTTTTGGATGCCTTTTCATTATTTTTTTTGCTAAATATCTGCACCACATGCAGCTACTTCTATTTTTGTCATCTCTCCATTCGGGTAAGTGCCCATCTGGAGACAATCTTAATAAAGAAAGTTCAAAATTATCTGTTACATATTGTTTTTGGGGAAGTTCAATATCAAGATTTTTTAATTATTGTATTAATTCTTCAACCCGACTTCGTGTATTTGGTTTTTTTATTAGGTTATTTTCTTCTATACCTGCATTAATCAAATCCCATACTAATTGAATTCGAAAGTCCTTGTGATTAATATTTTTACCACTTTTTTTAAGAATTAAATAAGAATTGATAATAGAAGTGTCTAATAACCAAAAAAACAAAGACATCCAAGTTCTTCATACTGGTAATTGAACACCATAATATCCACGGAGCTGGTTAGCTATATCTACCTCATCTATATAATGATTGTAATCATCAATCACACAAAAGATCAGTAAAGCTTTTTTATTAGAAGCCCCAAAAACTGCACGTACCTTGGTTGCATTGGAGCTTGTTTGTTGAGGCTGATATCGTGTTTTTACAATTCTGTTTTCATTTCCAATAATCTCATGAATAGTAGTTAGCATAGTTACTGGTCCGTTATCTATCTATAATACTGCCAAAACTCCACTAACTACTACTCCAGATAATGTATCCCAATTCAATTTCTTATCTACTTTAAGTATTTTTAGAAACTTTGCACTATTTGTTCGAACTGTTCCATATGCTTCAAAATTATTATTGCGCAAATGTTGAAAAAGACTAATTGCCAAAAAATAATTATCCATATATATATTAAAAGTTTTATTTTGAGGTAATTGCGATACAAAATGGTAAACATCATTTCTAGCTTTATTTAAACCTAAAATTCATTCTACTTCTGAATTAATTTGAACCTGTGAGGTAAAAATAAAGGCATACATGTAATCTGCATCACAAAGAGAAAAAATTTTGTAGCCTTCTGGTATAGGTTTATTCTTAATTCTTACTATATATATGCTTCGACCTGAAAACCGTGCAATCATTTCATCAATTGACACATTAGATGATGGAATACAAATTGTTTTAGAAATTGTTTGAATATGGCTTGCCAATAGATCTACTTTAGAATACCAATGCAAAGGTGAAATAGAGCAGTCTGAGATATGCATAAAACATTTAATCTAAAATAAATAAATAAATAAATATTAAATAAATAAATATTAAATAATTTAATCATATCTAATACAATTAAAAAAATGTTTATTAACGAACATACTTGTTTGAAATGAAGCAAAGTCATAAATTTTGTTATTTTATGTTCTAGAAATCTGTTATCTCTATTCCAGTAATCTCTAATACAAGGCAATTTAAAAATACCAGCATATATCAATATTGCCAACCAAATTTTAAACTCCTCTACTGTTAACTCAACCCATTTACGTCCTTCCCCTGCGCCCTTTGAATAAGCATATATATTAGTGTTTCGAACTATTGTATTTATTTGGTCAAATGAAAAAAAAAGACTAAAAATTAAATATGCCGATAGTAAAGAAGATTCATGTCTAGCAAGTAAGTTCAATGTAAATTCATGCATAGATCTTAAATGCTTAAAAGTATTAAAAGAAGGTGGAGAAGGAAGTTGTGCATTTTGCTAAATTTCAGTTTCATCATGACCATGGCTACCACAACCACGATCATGATCACCATGGCCACGACTACCACGGCCACGACTACCATGGCTACGACCACCATGGCTACGACCACCACGGCTACGACCACTATGACCATGACTACTAATTTCTTCGTCTTAAAATTCTTTATCTTGAAAGTCTTCGCTTTGAGTATCATAATTTTCATTATCTTCGAATTCATTTTGCTCATAATTTTCATGGCCACTTTGTGATAATTCTACCACATATATGTCATCATCATCCTGTTCGTTGAAATTTGAAGGTTCCATTACAAAAAAAATAGTAAAAAAAGTTTTTATTAAAAAATTCAATAAAAATGCTATATGGTGCAGAAAATTTAAAACTACAATCACTTTATATAGAATAAAGGGTCATACTGGAGATAAGCTAAAATCAGTAGTGATTTATTCTTATTCTAGGTTTTAGCTATATGTATAGAATAGTTGTTACATAATATATTATTTATTTCTATGCAAAGAGATTGTGAATTCCAACCCTTCACTTCGTTTATTAAAGAAATTTTTCAATGCGCTGCCAGTTCATGTGTTCTATTTTATCTTTATGGGTAGTTATTTTCGAATCTAGACCAAAAAATAATATTGCAACTTATATAAAATTGTCAGGGTTCAAAAATAATTATCCATATAGAGATTTAGGTTTTAAAATCTGCACATGTACGTACGTACGTATATGTGAGAAAATTTTAAGAGATTCTTTAGATAGTAGGTTCGCACTTTTTTAAAACTATTGCAGCATAGTAATTTATTAAATATGTTAATCAAATGTTAATCAATGTCTACGTAATATAGAAAATTGATTGGTCGATTTTATGAAGAAATATAAAATGATCTACAACCAAATTTGGAAATTGCAGGCAAATTTGCCTGCAAAACCGTTTAAGGGATATTAATTTTTGAAGGAATTAAAAATTCTCTGGGAAAATCTTCAACACCACTAACTGAACTTGTTTCAATGCTTCTTGATATTTGAAGAAACCTTCGTAACTTATCAGTTTCAAACTGGTCTGATGCTGCTAAGCTTCTAACTGTTTTTCTTACTGAAAGCAAATCAAGCCATCTCACAGTACCTGATTGATTAATTAGGTCATTAACCATAGAGTCTTGCATAAGTCAGCGCATTAATTCTGGTTCAATTTTCTGATGACTATTTGGAAGTGAACTAAGGTAGCCATTCATTCTCTCAAATGAAAAGCACCAAAATGCATAAAGTAGTCTATAGTCAAGGCAACATTGATTAATATGAAGTGCCAGATGAAGATTTGGTGTAATATATTTTTTATCATATTCTACTTCAATTTGTTTAATAAATAGAATAAACCAGTTATGTGCTTCTTCTAACACAGATATATCAATAATTTGACAGACCAAAATTGTACAAATTTATACAAAATTTGTGAGAATTCTTTGATCTGGTGCCAAAAGATAGTCCCATAGACAGGGTGTTGCATAAATTAAAATAAATGTTTTCCATTCATCAGCAGTAAAATTAGCAAATCCTTCACCACAATCTACTTTTCTTGGAATTCGGCCAATGTCAGATAGGACCTGAATTTCTAACATTTTTTTTTTGAATTTGCTTTAATTGGCTTGTATTCAACTTTTCATGATCAACCTATAATTGTTTTACAATTTATTTTGCAATGCCTAAAAATAGGCAATGCATTGGGTCGATAGCCAAAAACTGAATAGAATTAAAATATGGCAATCGAAGTAACTCAGACCATCGAACATGAGTAAGTTTTTTATGCTGTTTTCTATCTGATTTAGTAAAGCATCTTTGCTATTGTTCAGCATCTTGTCAATGTTGGGCTAAGTCACGTTCAATAAACCATGTATCAATATCATCTATACTTCCAAAATAGTAATGTCTATCTTCATATTGTGCTTTTTTTTCACACTGATAGCAAGATACTAATGCTGAGGTATAGCCACAAAGTTTCTGAGCTGCAGGTATATCACATGAACATAAAATTAATGCTGCCCGGATTATCTTTCCAGATGGGTTCTCATAAGTTGAAATTTGAACACCATCCCAAAATCGGTGTAGTTCATCAACAATCGGCGCAAGATAGTGGTTG